AAGAGGGGAGGGGAAGTCAAAGGGAGGAAGGAGCAGGCTTCCTTTCTGCTGACCTGGAGACTAGGACGCAATGGAACAATGGCTTCAAACTACAGGAAATGAGATTCCACCCGAACATGAGGAAGAACTTCCTAACGGTGAGAGCTGTTCAGCAGTGGAACTCTCTGTCCTGGAGTGTGGTGGAGGCTCCTTCTTTGGAGGCTTTTAAACTGAGAATGGCCATCTGTTGGGGGTGCTTTGAAGGTGATTTTACTGCTTCTTTGCAAAATGGGGATTGTCTGGATGGCCCACTAGGTTGACTAGGATTCTATGATTTGGAGTTTGTTCTGCCTGGTTGTTCTGTGTTTTGAACCCTATAGTAAAACGGGTTAGTAAAATACCCTTCCTTTCTTCTGGGCAGTTTCCCACTGCTCCACTCACACAAATAGCGGTAGCTGCAGCTTCTCACTTCTACTTCTCTTGCCCCTTCTAGTTTCTTCCTATTTCTGTTGCAAACCTCTGCATCAGAGTTTTGCAAAACCCAACCTAGTAACCAGGCTCCAGTAACTTGGTTACAAGCCACACAACAATTATCCTTCTGTCAGTAGGTTGGATCCAGTTTAAAGAGTCTCCCTCCTCCATGCACATACTCAGAATGTGAAAAGCTGAAATCCTTTTATTCCAACCCACATCCTCCTGAAGAACCTTTCGCATGGCAGACAAAAAAGAAGGGATGTATCAGGAGTTTGACTGGGACCGATCAAAATTCCAGGATACCATGCAAGGTTTCAGTCTCTCCAGAGCTTTTCGACGATATTCTGAAAGGAGCACTTAAAAGGTTGAACGTTTTGGTGGCTTTTCGGTTGACCCCCAATGATATTGCTGTTCCTCATGCACCAATAGGACTCCTTTCATTTTCTGTTTGCTTCCCATTACTATTCTCTCCTAATTGTGTCTGCCTTACCGTCCACACATGGCTTAGCAGTTCCCTGGGGCAAAGGTTGACACTTTTGCTGGTGACTTTCTGTGACTGTTCTCCATACTTTACAGCGAATGCTGTCTAAAGCCAGCTCAGCACCATCGCACGACCCAGGTTCAAATCTTGGTGTGTCAGGATGTTTGCAAGGTGGCTTTGAACCAGTCACAAAACTTTTCAGCCTTCTATTTGGGCTGTTGTGAGGATCAATGAAAGAATCCATTTATTCATGTTTTTATTCAAACAATAAATCCATGCCTGTGCCATCTCATTTTTGCCCTTAATATGCTGAAAACATGTAAGACTCCTATAGAATGTATAATCATTATTAGGCCTACATATACTGTACATGTGCAAAGGAAAGCAGGGCTCAGGATTTGGGAGGAGTTTGGGAAGTGACGCTTAAAAAAGCAATTAGATATAGCTGTTTCCTATGCACCTTATAGACTTATTAGCTGTACCCGCCACACACTGCTGTAGCCAACCATCCATCCCTCTTTCTCTCCTCCTTTCTTTCTCTCCTCCCTTCCTTCCTTCCCTCCCTCTTTCCTCCCTCCCTTCACTTTTTTCTTTCCTTCTCTTTTTCCTTCCTTCCTTCCTTCTCTACCTCTTTTCTTCCTCCCTCCCTTTTTCTTTCCCTTTCCTTCCTTCCCCCCTTTTTCTTTCCCTTCCTTTCTCTCCTTCCTTCCTTTTCTACCTTTTTCTTTCCTTCCCCCTTTTCTTTCCCTTTCCTTTCTCTCTTTCCTTCCTTCCTTCTCTACCTCTTTCCTTCCTTTCCTCTTTTTCTTTCCCTTTCCTTCCTTCTCTACCTTTTTCCTTCCTTCCCCCTTTCTTTCCCTTTCCTTTCTCTCTTTCCTTCCTTCTCTACCTTTTTCCTTCCTTCCCCCTTCTTCCCCTTTCCTTTCTCTCCTTCCTTCTCTACCTCTTTCCTTCCTTTCCCCTTTTTCTTTCCCTTTCCTTCCTTCCTTCCTTCTCTACCTTTTTCCTTCCTTCCCCCCCTTTTCTTTCCCTTTCCTTTCTCTCCTTCCTTTCTTCCTTCTCTACCTTTTTCCTTCCTTCCCCCTTTCTTCCCCTTTCCTTTCTCTCCTTCCTGTCTTCTCTACCTTTTTCCTTCCTTCTTTTTCTTTCCCTTTCCTTTCTCTCCTTCCTTCTCTACCTTTTTTCTTCCTTCCCCCCTTTTCCCCTTTCTCTCCTTCCTTCCTTCTCCACCTTTTCTTCCTTCCCCCCTTTTCTTTCCTTTCCTTTCTCCTTCCTTTCCTTTCCTTCCTTCCTCCTTTTCCCTTCCTTTCCCTTTCTTTCCTTTCCTTTTCTCCCTTCCTTCCTTCTCTACCTTTTTCCTTCCTTCCCTTTCTTTCCTTTTCCTTCCATCCTTCTCTACCTCTTTCCTTCCTTTCCCCTTTTTCTTTCCCTTTCCTTTATCTCCTCCCTCCCTTCCTTCTCTACCTCTTTCCTTCCTTCCCGCCTTTTCTTTCCCTTTCCTTTCTCTCCTTCCTTCCTTCTCTACCTTTTTCCTTCTTCCCCCCTTTTTCTTTCCCTTTTTCTTTCCTTCCTTCCTTCCTTCCTTCCTTCCTTCCTTCCTTCCTTCCTTCCTTCTCTACCTATTCTTGGACTTTAACTCCCAGCAGTCCTCCTGATTGATCTATCTACCTACTATCTATCTCTATCTGATCTATATATTTTATCTATTTGGAGGATTGCTGGGAGTTGCCGTCCAGGAATAGGAAATTGGGAATGGGATGCTCTCAAAGAAATCCAAGGAGAAGCAAGCTTGCAGCTTAGAAGCAGTGCATTTGGAGCATCCTCCTCCCCTAAAGGGCTAGGTCTAGGGGATGCTGGGAGCTGACATTTTTGCGCATGCACTGTATCATCATTTAGATTTTTTGGGGTTTTTAAGTCCTTTCTGCTGTTTTTTGGAGGGGTTTATGAGTGATGGTCACTCGTTGGTCTGTTAGGGTTTGGCACAATTCCATCGTGGATGGAGTTCAGAATGCTCTTTGATTGTAGGTTAACTATAAATCCCAGCAACTACAACTCCCAAATGACAAAATCAATCCCCCCAACCCCACCAGTATTTAAATTTGGGTGTAATGGGTATTTGTGCCGAATTTGGTCCAGTGAATGAAAATATATCCTGCATATCAGATATTTGCATTACGATTCATATCAGTAGCAAAACTACAGTTATGAAGTAGCCACGGAAATAATGCTATGGTTGTGGGTGTCACCACAACACGAGGAACTATATGAAGGGGTTGCGGCATGAGGAAGTTTGAGAAACACTGCCCTAAAGCTTCAGAGAGCTTTTGTTTGACCATTTCAAAGCTCCCTGCTTGAGCAGTGATGGCATGATCGTCAGCATAGATGAAACTCTACATCCCTTTCTGGCAGTGGCTGGTCATTTGTGTAAATGTGAAACATTGATGGAGAAAGCATATATATGCCATGTCTCTCAGCGTGGCTTTAATACAGCTGTGTGGAAGGGACCCTCAGTAATGGTGCTGTTGGTGTCTTTGGTCACCTTTTCCCGAACCTAATGCCTTGGAGGCCAATGCCCCCACCCAACCCCCCTCAGATGACAGGGCACCTATGCCCCTCAGGTGGGCGGAAGGGACACTTCACCCCCCCCCTCAGACGACAGGGCACCCATGTCCCTCAGGTGGGTGGTAGGCACACTTCACCCCACCCCTGTCAGACGACAAGGTGCCCATCCCCCTCAGGTAAGTGGCAGGGACACTTCACCCCACCCATCCACCCCCCTCAGACGACAGGGTGCCCACGCCCCTCAGGTGGGTGGCAGGGACACCTCACCCCACCCATCCTCGTCAGACGACAGGGTGCCCACACCTCTCAGGTGGGCAGCAGGGACACTCTACCCCACCTCCACTCACTCCCTTCAGATGACAGGGCGCGCACGTCCCTCAGATGGGCGGCAGTGACACTTCTCCCCCCCCCCCCAGACGACAGGGTGTCCACGCCACTCAGGTGGGCGGCAGGGACACTCCACCCCATCCCACTCCCCTCAGATGATAGGGCACGCACGCCCCTCAGATGGGCGGCAGTGACACTTCACCTCACTCCCAGGGTGCCCACGCCCCTCAGGTGGGCGACAGGGACACCTCACCCCACTCCCCTCAAACGAGGGGACGCCCATGCCCCTCAGGTGGGCGGCAGTGACACTTAACCCCTCCCCCCAGACGACAGGGTGTCCACGCCCCTCAGATGGGCAGCAGTGACACTTCACCCGCCCTCAGATGACAGGGTGTCGACGCCCCTCAGGTGAGTGGCAGGGACACTCCACCCCACCCCACTCCCCTCAGATGGGCAGCAGTGACACTTCACCCCCCCCCTCAGATGACAGGGTGTCCATGCCCCTCTGGTGGGCGGCAGGGACACTCCACCCCACCCACTCCCCTCAGATGATAGGGCACGCACGCCCCTCAGATGGGCCGCAGTGACACTTCACCCCACTCCCAGGTTGCCCACGCCCCTCAGGTGGGCGACAGGGACACCTCACCACACTCCCCTCAAACGACAGGGGGCCCATGCCCCTCAGGTGGGCGGCAGTGACACTTATAACCTCCCCTCAGATGACAGGGTGTCCACGCCCCTCAGGTGGGCGGCAAGGACACTCCACCCCACTCCCCTCAGATGACAGGGCACGCACGCCCCTCACGTGGGCGGCAGTGACACTTCACCCCACTCCCCTCAGACGACAGGGTGCCCACGCCCTTCAGGTGGGCGGCAGTGACACCTCTCCCCTCAGACGACAGGGTGCCCACGCCCTTCAGGTGGGCGGCAGGGACACCTCACCCCACTCCCCTCAGACGACAGGGCGCCCACGCCCCTCAGGTGGGCGGCAATGACACTTCACCCAACTCCCCTCAGACCACAGGGTGCCCACGCCCCTCAGGTGGGCGGCAGGGACACTCCACCCCACCCCCCAAACGCCAGGGCCCGCCTGAGGGGGCTTGGGGTGGAGTGTCCCTGCCGCCCACCTGAGGGGCGTGGGCGCTGGCCTCCAAGGCCCTCCTCCCGTCCGGAAAGGGGAGGGCTGTGGGAAGGCCAGAAGGAGGTGTGTGCCAATGAGCGCAGAGCTCGAGGAGGCGCCTTGAATGGGAAGCCTCTCCTCGGCGCAGCTTCGCCTCCTGAATGAAGCCTCCTCGCCGTCTCTTTCTCGCCAGCCCGCTTCGAACCGACCAGAGTGAAGGTAAGGGCCACGCAAAGGGGGGGTTGCCTGAAAAGGCTTCGGAGGGCGGGTGCGTTGACAACAAAAGCGGGGGAAAGGAAGGTTGGGAGGCCAGTGGGGTGTGCGTATTGGTTGGGGGGCTTCTTTTCCTTTATTTCACCGGTGTGAGGCCTTCAGGTGTGTTTGTTTTGTGAGGGGTAAGTGTCGACTTAAGGAACCGGGTGAGGGGCGCTGCGCCCTTCTTCCCCTTTTGCTTCTCCTTTTCCATCTGAGGGTGGCTCAGCTACATACACACCCACTCCTCCCGCGCGGGGCTCCTGATTGGTCCCCTCACGAGCCCCCATCCTTCTGACAAGCCCCCATCCCATTCTGAACAAGCCCCGCCCCTTTGGCACAAGCCCCGCCTCTTTCTGACCAAGCCCCGCCCCTTTCTGAGCAAGCCCCACCCCCTTTATTTCATTGTTGAGCATTAACATAACAATTTACAATATATCCTTATTATTATAATGTATGTATGTATGTATGTATGTATCTATCTATCTATCTATCTATCTATCTATCTATCTATCTATCTATCTATCTATCTATCTATCTATCTATCTATCTATCTTTATACCCCACTTGATCTCTCCCGAAGGGAACTCAAAGCGGCTTAATGTAAAAAAATTAGCATACAATTTAAAATATATTATTATTATTATTATTATTGTATGTATTTATACCCCACTTTATCTCTCCCAAAAGAGACTCAAAGCAGGTTTAACATAAAAGTCTTGTTGTTCATTCGTTCAGTCGTTTCCGACTCTTCGTGACCTTATGGACCAGCCCGCGCCAGAGCTCCCTGTCAGCCGTCACCACCCCCAGCTCCTTAGCATAGCATTTAAAATATACGATTATTATTAATATTATATTTATTTATACCCCGCTTGATCTCTCCTGAAATTGACTCAAAGAGGGTTAACGTAAAAGCATTCGCATACCATTTTAAATATACTACTACTACTATTATTATATAATAATAGAGATTTAAAATAGCTTAACATGCAAGCATTAGCATGCAATTTAAAATTTGTTGTTGTTGTTGTTATTATATTTCTATTCTGCTTTATCTCTCCCAAAAGAGACTCAAAGCAGCTTGACATAAAAGCATTAGCATACAATTTTAAAATTATTATTATTATTATTATTATTATTATTATTATTATTATTATATTTATACTCTGCTTTATCTCTCCCAAAAGAGACTCAAAGCAGGTTAACATAAAAGCATTAGCATACAATTTAAAATATATTATTATTATTATTATTATTATATTTATACTCTGCCTTATCTCTCCCGAAAGAGACTCAAAGCGGCTTGACATAAAAGCATTAGCATACAATTTTAAATATACTACTACTACTACTATTATTTTTATTTTTATTTATACACTGCTTTATCTCTCTCAAAAGAGATTCAAAATGGCTTAACGTACAAGCATTAGCATGCAATTTAAAATATATTTAAAATTTATTATTATTATTATTATTATTATTATTATTATTATTTATACTGTGCTTTATCTCTCCCAAAAGATACTCAAAGAAGGTTAACATAAAAGCATTAGCATACAATTTAAAATATATTATTATTATTATTATTGTTTGAAACAACAAGATGAGTCCACCACAGCAGACACTCTGCTGGCTGTTGAATTGGATCACACATCAGACACTTCCCAAGTGTCTAGGACTGTGTGATGTATTGACGAATAATGCGTGCAGAGCTGAGTAGGATGGCCTTTTGCAGCTGGCAGATGGTAATTTTGTCAGCGCTGATTGTGTTTAAGTGCAGACCAATGTCTTTTGACACTGCACCCAGTGTGCCGATCACCACTGGGACCAGTTTGATCTTTAAATCCTCATATCGTGTCGTCTTTTCCAGTTGTTTCTCATTAATTCTGCTGTCACCTGGGATTGCAACATCGACAATCCATACTTTGGTATTATTATTATTATTATTATTATTATTATTATCATTATTATATTTATACACTGCTTCATCTCTCTCAAAAGAGACTCAAACCGGCTAGACTTAAAAGCATTAGCATGCAATTTAAAAATTATTATTATTATTATTATTATTATTATTATTATTATTATTATTCTCTGCTTTATCTCTCCCAAAAGAGACTCAAAGGAGGTTAACATAAAAGCATTAGCATACAATTTAAAATATATTGTTATTATTATAATGTATTGTCGAAGGCTTTCATGACCGGAATCACTGTGTTGTTGTAGGTTTTTTTGGGCTAGGTGACCATGTTCTAGAGTGAGGATGGGGCCATTCTGGCCTCATTAGGAAAAAGTTCCAGAGTCAATGGGCATTTGCCACTGAGAAGGAAGGAAGGTCCTCTTCTCTCTCGTTCCCAACAACCGGGCTTGAGATGGAGGTGGGACCGAGAGAAGGAATGGGCTCTCCTGAAGGGGATCTCAGGGCCCAGAATGCAGGTTTGTGCAAGGGGATGTGGTTGGTGAAATAGGCTGGACCTGAACCATCTAGGGCTTTAAGGTCATCACCAGCATTTGAATTGTGCCTGGAAAAAGACTGGCACCCAGTGGAGCTCCTTCAACAGGGAGGTTCTCACTACCTGCCTCCATCCCCAGTGAGCAATCTGACTGGAGCTCTTTGACCAGCTGGAGTTCCTTGCAGTCTTCAGAGGCAGCCCCACATAGAGCACACTACAGTAATCCACATGAGATGTAACTAAGGCATGGACCACCATGGCCAAATCTGGCTTTTCAAGGAATGGGCACAGTTGGCACATCCGTTTTAACTATGCAAAGGCTCTCCCGGCCACTGCTGACACCTGGACCTTTGGATTCAGTCCAGAAGGACCCCCAAACTGCAGATATGTGTCTTCAGGGGGAGAATAACCCCATCCAGCACAGGATGGATCCCTATTGCCTGGTCTGCCTTCTGACTGACCAGGGGTACCTCTGTCTTGCCTGGATTCAGTTACAATTTGTTTGCCCTCATCCAGTCCATTACTGTTGACAGGCACTGGTCAGGACAGCTTCCTTGACTTTAGATGGAAAGGAGTAGTAGAGTTGGGTGTAATCTGCATATATGTGTCACCGTTCTCCAAAACTCTGGATGACCTCTCCCAGTGGTTTCATGTATATGTTGAAATTAAAACTTGTGCGCCAGCTGCGCCCATACCTTGGGAAGTCTGACTTGACCATGGTAGTCCACGCTCAGGTTACATCCCATATAGACTACTGCAACGCTCTCTACGTGGGGTTGCCTTTGAAGACTGTGTGGAAGCTTCAAATGGTCCCATGGGAGGAAGCCAGGTTGTTAACAGGAGTGGCGCTCAGGGAGCACACAACTCCTCTGTTGCGCCAGCTCCACTGGCTGCCAGTCTGATACTGAGCACAATTCCAAGTGCTGGCTTTAGTCTATAAAGCCCTATAAAGCCCAGCTTATCTGTCCGAACGTATCTCTCCTTATAAACCATCTAGGACCCTAAGATCTTCTGGGGAGACCCTGCTCTCAGTCCTGCCTTCATCACTAATGCAGTTGGCGGGAACAAGAGACAGGGCCTTCTGAGTGGTGGCCTCTTGGCTGTGGAACACCCTCCTAAAGGACATTAGATCGGCCCCCACACTCTGTTGTGACTCAGCTGGAATCACAGACAGTCTCTGATGAAGATGGGACTCATCATCCTCATCATTCACAGTTTGGTTCAAGATGTCCCTGTTATAGACGATGAAGAAGTGCAGTTTTCCACAGCAAGGCATGAGAGTGTTGATACTGAAAATAGCCAGGTGCAGATTGATTCAGAGAAGATAATTCTCAGCCTGATAATCAACAAGGAAAACAGTCTGACATTAACGAACAGACTGACCTTGACGAAATGGGAACCTTAGATCGGACTGACCATTTGGAATTCTGAGTCCGAAGGAGTGAAAGGATAGTGAATAGGGAGGCCAGGGGCCAACGAAACGCCTTTGTGTTGTGCAAAGGATATTAAGCCATGTGTGTGAGACCAAATCTTTGTCAAAGCAACTTTGTGTTCTACTAAGAAGCTTGCCTATACTTGGCTGGATTTAACTTACAGTTTTTGTGTTCATGATTTCAGGGCCTTGTCATGTTCTCTTGGGTTTTGCTTTGCTGGTGCCTTTTTTGGATTAAGCATCAAGTGCTTTAGGATATTGATCTGTTGGAACATTAGCCTTTGCTTTTACAAACCGTTTACCTTTAGTTTTTAATAAACTATAAAGACTTCTGGCTGTGTGTGGTTTGGTGTCTTCAGCAAGTTGGATCTACTCTGAGGTGCAACACCCTCTTGACTTTTCACAAAAAAGTTAAAACCTGGCTTTTTGAGCAAGCTTTCCCAAATGCAGTGTAGCAGACAAACTCTGATCTTCGGAACGAATGGATAATGATTTTAGTAATGAGACGCAGAAGATTTATATTTTTGCTTTTTTATTATTTATTGAATTTTACTTATGTTAAATGTTTTAATTGTTTTTATGTTATTGCGGGCATCGAATTGTGCCGTTTGTAAAGCGCCCCGAGTCGTCCTTGGGCTGAGAATGGCGGTATATAAATATAGTAAATAAACAAATAAATAAATAGCATGGGGGACAAAATGGACCCCTGAGGAAACCCACGGGACAATGGCCAGGGGTTCGAACAGGAGTCCTCCAGAATCACCTTCTGGGTATGGTCCTCCAGGAAGGAACGGAGCCACTGTAAGACAGTGCTTCCTAGTCCCATGGCAGCAAAACGACCCAGGAGGAGACCATGGTTAATAGTATTGAAAGCCACAGAGATATCCAGGAGAACCAACAAAGACACACTCTCCCTGTCTAGCTCTCTGTGGAGATCATCCACCAAGGCAACCAAAGCTGTCTCTGTTCCGTAATGCCCATACTGGAGGCAGCAGCCCTGAGAAAGTTGGCTGCACCGCTTCCTCTCTCACCCTGCATCTGCCTCTGCTTTGCATTCACCTTTTCCCCATCTTTCCCTCTTT